TGTGCCACAGAAGGTTAGTCGAGAACTGAATATCTTAATGGTAACGTCATTGACTAGCATACTAGGTGATACAAGTTCGAATCCCTCTGCGTTGCAAATATACCTTGCTGACAAGTTCCAACAAGCTTAAAGCCTAAATAAAGCATGTTTTCCTATTGCCGACTACCTACAACTTTTCAACTGCTTCAGTTGATGAATTACACTGTTTGAAAGATAGTTTTCGAATAGGACGGAGAAGGTTCTACGTCGGTGCTACTCCTGCTAACTGCCTACTACGCAACTCAATACAGAAGTTTCAATCATATCATTTTACTAATTAACAATCTACAGACTTAACATTACAGTTTCATAGTTTTTTTTTCCTAGTGAGCTTAATTTTTATTGCAACATAATTCGATTTGACGCCTCATAATGGAGTTATTTATAAATCTGTATGAAAAGCAACGATCGCATGCCAACAGATAGGTCAGCACAGACATACAAGAAGTCAACATTATTTCTTTGGATAATATAAAACAAAGAAAGAACTGTGAACAATACATTACTACTCAGTGAAATTATTATTATTATTCCCCCTTCAATTACTATTCATCTGCAGAATTAGTTTAAAACATAAAAAACACGTAAAATAAAGGAGAAAAAACAACAAGAACAACAACACAAATATAACACCGAAAAAACTGTATGTAGTGAAGACAAGAAGCAAACACGCAAACTGCGTACAATCTGTGAATGAATGAAAACTTCCCAATGATTACTCTTAGGTTAGTTAAGTATAAGAGCACAGATATCTATCATTTGTTTGTAATTTCCTGTTCATCCCCACCCTCTCTGTATTTCTTTTGTGCGCCCATATGAAAGTTTACTCTGTGCACCAGTACAGAGAAACAGAAAGTGAAATATATAAAGTTAAAAAAATATCAACAGAAAACACTTGTCTCTTTCATACTGCTTCAAATCACTTCTTCTCCGGCATACATAGATAAATTTAGTTACACAGTACAATCCTGTCTTCATCTGAGATCTGTATAATCAAAATCATAACAAGTAAAAAAGAACCGAACAATAATGATTGGTCTGTTATTAAAGCAAACAATGCTGAAGAAGAAGAAGATAGGAAGCAATTACAAGATTGTTGGGGGGGGGGGGGGGAGAAACGAGGCTAGTAGAAAGAGTAAATTGTGAATCGATTGAAAAGAAACGCTATAGCATGAATGATGAATGAATGCTTTCCACATCTCTATTCAAACACACAAATTAACATTATTTACAAATATATCACTAAATAGTGAATAAGGTTAAGCAATAAAATGACGCCGTTAAAAAAACGCTGTTTACAAACAAAGGAGAAGATTATTCATACAATACTGAACTAACACTAACACACAGAGAGAGAGAGAATGCATAAAGAAAGGTGATACAACACACGCCTAGACAACAATCTTTCTATTCAATACAGTATTTCATCTTTAAAATAACTATGTACAATTTTGTAGAAACAAAAAGTGTGTTTTTTCAAGTGAGATATTACAGTTCTTTACATCATTGAAAAGTAGACTTGAAATTAACAAGTGAGTTGCTTTGACCACAAGATGACAAATTCCTAATTATTATTTCTCATACTACAAAAATATACTCAAGAAAGACGATATAGACAATTATATCTTTATGCTTACTTGCATGCCGATTCACGTAATCACCTGCATCTTCAGACATTTCCTCTTCTATATAGATCTATACAAGCTATCAATAGACAGTGAGATGAAAAGAATCTTTCAATGACTGAGTAGGATTCTATGCAGTGTTATATGTGGTAAACCAATATTTTGAAGGATCCGTTGTCAATGACACTTGATTCACCTTCTTCGAAGCATAGTTATAATCACTGTCGTCATGTGTGTTCAAACACACACACAAAATTTATGCGATTAAATGTTATTTTTGCGTCAACATTTATTTAAGACATTTATAAGTGGAATGGGATGAGAACGACAGTTGAGTAAAAGAGATCACATTTCCTATTGACGTACACTACTCAGATTCCCATCACGATTATAACGCTAAACATCCAAGTAATTCGTGAAATAATTAGAGTAGGATTACAACGAAGATGACGGTGATCAGTAGCCCCCATTAGAGATGAAGTAAAATACCAAACAGTAAAAGCAATTTTCTCCTGCAAACACTGAAGACAACACATAGATATATACATTTAAAAAAAAAAGCGGGAAAAGGAAATAATAACAATGAGGAAAGATTATTTATGAGCAACTTTAACAAGTGTAAATTTCTAACTTCTGCTTTCTACACAACTGTGATTAGTTTCTGTGATCTTCAGAAGGTTATTGGACACATGTGAGTTTTGTGGGATGTTTTCTCTTTCAGCTTACTGTCAATTTTGTCTCCTTTTTGTAGAGGTGGCACATAAAGTGTATCTATGTTAAACATTAAGTCGACAATTTATGTTTATTTCTTTGTTTTCATGCATTAGGATGACCTATCTACACCTCGTAACGCGTACATTCTTTCCTAACCTGTCAATTCATACAAGTAACCGATTCCAACAAATCGGTAAGGATAGTGCAAACCACCAACCTCCAAGAATGAGGTATATGATACACAGGTATACAGTGATTCTTTCTAAGAAAATAAGATGACGCTTAAAAATTTATGAAAACCACCTGACATACGCATATAAGGAGATTATAGTTACCAGAAACTCTACTGTTGCTAAGCTAACATGTATCACTGTTGTTACAAATATGCGACTGAGATTAAGAGAAACTAAGTTTCTTTGGTGTAACGAAGGTCAGCATATATATTCAACCAGCATTAATCCACTTTACGGACACTAGAGAATGAAGACATCGCAATAAAAGCAAGCATGCCAGACATTCATTCAACTTTATCTAAATAGTATCCTCGCAACGGGGAACCTTCCTTACATCGATCCTACTGATATGAAAAATTAACCCGTTAATACAGAAGCAAAAATAGCTGTTTACTAATGCTTCAGCAAAGAGGACTCTTTTCAATGAATTTATATTTTCAAGCTGTACATTCGCTTATTGTTAAATATTATTACCACCATTATTATCATTTCAACCCCCTAGAGATAATAGTCTTTAAATATTATATATATGAACGTAGAGAAGACAGAGGTGATGAAGATACCCAACCAACAACAACAACAAGCGCCATCAATAATAGAAGTCTAAAGGAAGTTGTCTCTTTCACCTACCTACCTAGGCAGCATCGTCTGAATTACAGGCGGTGGCGGTAGCACGGATGAGGATGTTAAAGCCAGTCAGAATTGGAAAGACAGCAAGATAGGCCTTCATTAATCTGAAATCAGTGTGGAGACCTACCCCACCCCACTGCACTCCACTGTACTGCACTGCACTGGACCCAGCATACAGCGTGAACAAGATCCAGATTTTCAACACTGAGTCAGTCAAGTCAGTCAGTGCTTCTATGTGATGGTTGAGAGACTTGGTGGTGGGTTACGAAAAGAATTTCCAACAAACAACTGGAGACATACATGAACAGCTGCCACCTGCACTCACTCGATACTGAAGATCAGATGGCCAGAATAATAAGAATAACCAACCAGGAACTCACTCTGGCCTGCCAACCAACCAACCAAGAACCTATCACCCAAGAAATATGCAGACGACGAAAGTGGAGATGAACTGAAGTGGATATACACTGAGAAGACCATTTGGGGACATCACGCACCAGGCCAGATGCTCGAGTGGAAGCCAAATGGAAAACGACGAGTTGTGGCGTGACATGGAGGAGATGGTGTGACGAAGAAATGAAAGCTTATGAATAGAGATAGAGCCAGGTTAAGAAAACTGCAGAGAAGAGTGAAATGGCGACGTGCTACGAAGCTCTATGTTCCTCTAGCAACCCAAAGGACAAGTAATTATATATATATATATATATATATATATATATATATATATATATATATATATATATATATATATATATACACGAATGTACAGCTTGAGAATAAATCCGTTGAAGAGAGTCCTCTCTTCACTGAATATTTTGTTTTTGATATCAGTATGGGAATTATGAATGTACTAGGTTTCGCATAGACTATAAGCTTATCATATATGTTTAGATACTAGTATAATTGCCAAAAAGTCTGTAGTATTGTATTCTCAGCCTCTTTAAGGCATCCTTCGTGCTGCCTATGCACTAATACATGTGAAATTCTATGCTTCTCATCTTTCCTTTACTAGGACATTCACAGAGTCTACTTTAATGAAAAATAAGCATAAAATTTATTATTTTTTAAAATGTTAATCACTAATATTGTAATTTGCTTACCTTACACTGAAACAGCTTGAAAAACTTATTTGTTGTTTGAACATAACTGCAGTATACGAGTGAACACACACACACACAGACAACAGCAATTGTAGCACAGTCTAGGGAAGCATGGTAGTGACTTTCTTCAAAATTAACTTCATGTAGGAAATAGTCTAAAAAAATATACTTCAGTATTTCTTCTTTTTCTTTCAAAATACAAACAATTCACAAACAAACTATTCTACTTGCTATTGAAACATGACAACAACTGAAAGGCTTGTCTTCGTTACTAGAATCTACGGTCTTTACAGTCACTGTTATCTTAAAGGTGACCGCACAAATATAACGAATTCAAATAAAAGTGGGATTTAAAATAACATACAAAATTGTAAAGAAACTGTAAAAAGCAGTTCTCTAATTAGGATTAATTCATGCGCATTTTTTTTAAAAAGAAAATGGAAAAAAAAAAGGATAAAAGATAGTGTTAGCAAAGCAGTATAATAGACACAGGTGTCAGATAAGAGAATATAGAGATAAACAATACAATTGTAAGTAATTACAAAAGATGCGTACTATTCATCATAGGATGGTTATTAAAAGAGTTTCCCTCCTTTCCTGAAACCCCCCACCCTTCCCATAACTCACAGAAAATAAGTTGAAGTTAAGCGTAGAAAACATTAGTTACGATTGTTGTATTGTATTGGATAAACAGTGGAATTGACAAAGGATGATGATGATGCTGGCGGTAAGACACTACTACTTCTACTACTACCACTACCATTGATAATATAATTGTGATCATTATTACTTCGAGTTGACAATAATTGATCATGATTATCAATAATTGATGGACTAGTTAAACACTGAGCATGAGCACGGGTAGATAATGCAGATGGTACCCAAATTATAGGACCAACATGATTTTCAACATATTTGTTAACTGAAGATAATAGATTCTCGATATTGTCATATGTTATAATAGCTGTAAAAAGGAAAAAAAGACAGAATATTCATTATAAAGTTAATATTATGCAGAGTAAAAGTTCAAGGATTCCATAATAAATTAGTTCATTTGATGTAGCCAACTGTGTTCTAGTATTATTGAATAATTCTTGTTGTAACATTGAAAAATACCCAACCAACAACAAGTATCAATCGCCATTAACGGGAGAAACCTAAAGGAAGTAGTCTCTTTCACGTACACCTACCTAGGCAGCATCGTTTCAATTACAGGGGGCAGGACACACCAGGACCGGAAAGACAGCAAGACAGGCTTTCATTAATTTGAAATCAGTGTGGAGATCTACTGCACTCACAACAAAGAACAAGATCCAGATTTTCAACATCAAGTCAGCGATGCTAAGTGGCTCGGAGACTTGGTGTGTCACGAAAATCATTTCCAACAAACTACAGACATTCATCAACAACTGCCACCTATGCTGGCTCCATACTGAAGATCAGATGGCCAGAATAAGAAGAATAAGCAACAAGGAACTCATTCTGGCTTGTCAACGAACCAACCAAGAACCTATCACCCAAGAAATATGCACTGGAAGGAAGTGGAGATACATTGAGCAGACACTGAGAAGGCCGACTGGGAACATCATGCAACAGGCCAGGCCAGACCGTCAAGTGGAATCCAAAGGGGAAACGAATTGGGCGACCGATGGTGATATGGAGGTGATTGTGCGACGAAGAAATGAAACCTTGTGGGCAGTGGTGGAGACAGGTTAGGAGGACTGAACAGAAGTGAGTGAAATGGAGATGTGCTACTGAAGCCTTGTGTTCCATTAGGAACTTAACGGACAAATAGTATAATAATACTAATAACAATAATTTTAACATTAAGAACAAGATATTCAGTGAAAAGAACTGTTTTCAACGAATTTATTTTCAAGCTGTACATTCGTATATATGTATGATAGTTGACAAAGCTTGAAAGATCTTTTGTTGAGGTGCACATTTAATGTCCAATCTAGTTTCAATAATGAAATCTTTATACAGAAAGGTGGACTTGCAGTAGAGTCAACATTGAAATCACTATTAACAGACTTTTTCATGTCAAAACTAAAGAATATTCAACTTCGCCAAGCTATCAGCCCTGAAGTTCACCACAGAGAAGGAATCAGAATCAACTATTCGTTTTCTTTATGTGCTTCCCATCACACACAAGAATGGATTCCTGAAAAGATCTATCTACAGAAAAGCAACGTAGAACGAACAACAAACTAATTTTTATATTTGAGTACCTGTCAACAGAAAAACAAATCTTATTTACTCTTTGCCTGCTATCGAATAAGAAATATCTGTAGTGAAGATTGTATTGCTCAAGAGCTATCGTTTTCAAAAAGCACACTTGTTAAAAAATAGTTACCCGTGGCGTTTAAATGATAAAAGTATGCGAGAAAGAAATACCAAACCATCAGTCACCCACGAGGTTTCAAAGAAAACATTGTTCATGAACCTAGAACTTACAGATGATGAAGCAACACATGTATTCAAGAATCTTCGATGCAAATCAATCAACGAAACGTTCTTCGCAGCAAGACTTCAGTTGACTTTTACTAGCTCTAAACTATTCTCCGTTTGTGTTCAAGGTAACCTTCCTCGTTTCACTGCATCTATTTGCATCTATCAGTTCACCTACTCTTGTCGAGCAACGGGTACATCGGTCGTAGCTACAGAATGATTTCTACACACATATACGACATACATGTTCCTACTTAGCTTTATAAAAGTCAAAGAAAGTCTGTTAGAAGTCCTATTCTACAACATTTCATTGATTTCCATCACTTAACAAACCAACACAAATCTTTATCAAATTCACCTAAACCTTCCACTTTTTCTTCATTTCCAACTGCTTAAACTAGTGGAGGCTTTACCTATTCATGAACTTAAACCTGATCTGTGTGTATAAAAGCAGTATGTACAGTAGTCACAATGTTTTACCATGGCGATAACATTCTCCCTAACCCCCATTAGTTTATTTTATCACTACTATCGTTATTATAATTGCCTTTACTCCGATTAATTTCCAATATTATTACACTTAATTATCTTAACCTTATTAGAAAACATTGAAATCATTTTGACCAACTTGTCTAATCTTATTACATAATACTTAATTGACTTACCACTTCGATGAATTTCTTCGCCCCGTTTCTCAGTTATACACCTTCCATGAACCATTCCATATATTCAGTAATCTACTTTGTTACCATTCATACTTCAAATGTTATCATGTTATCATAAATACCTATGTCATTATCCATTTTATTATCAATGTCATCATCATCATCATGACAAAGTGTTTAGTTCTCCTCACAGGATATACTCATTCAAATATATCATATATATACGAATGTACAGCTTGAAAATAAATTCATTGAAACGTGCCTCTTCCCTGAATATCTTCTTCTTCATGTTGCAATGGGAATCATTAAATTATTAGAAATGTCCACAGTGAAACAGTATCATTGACTGGATGACATTTGAATGTAATCTATTGTCCATATTTTTTTGAAGTGACTCCTGAACATTGACATATCGTTTATATAGTTAGAATGCTCTTGCCTCCTCCTGTGTGATAACAGCAGCAGAACTTTCCATACATCCAGGATAGGTGTAAAATCATTTCGATTGCATATATTTCGTGTTGATTCTATAAACAACGATTCGGTTATCAATTTCTTCCTTCAGTCAACTAAGTGTGTGTGCTATTGCGTGCAGAGTATAGTAGAGATATTTTGTAAATTTCTCAACTCATTAGGATCTACTAAACTTAGCTAAATCAAGATTAGTAGATCTTAATAAGATGAGAAATTTAGAAAACAGGTCTGCTATAGCTCTGCATGCAATTACACACATTCCCACAATATGGGGTGGGATACAACCACAGTATCAAAAACAAACTGAGTTGAGTGAAGAGAGAGAGAGAGAGATTAATAACCAAATCGTTGTTTATCAAATCAACATGAAATACATGTAGTGGAAATGGTTTTACACCTGTCCTAGATATATGGAAGACTTTACTATCGTTATGACAAAGGAAGAGTCGAGAGTATTGGAATTATATAAACTGTATCAAAGTTGGGGAGTCACTTGAAAGGAATATGGATCATAAATTGTATCCGAAAGGTTATCCAGTCAATGATACTGTTTCACTGTATGACATTTGTAATAAAGGAGACAAGTCTACTATCAACAGTCAGTGTAGTGATATGTTAGTTGTTCATCATCAGCCTTCTCATTAACTGTCTTCTCAGATCTCTACATCCATTTTCAATATTCATCTGTCAAGTGAGAATTTTTAGTAAAATCAACTAGTTTCAAGTTAAGCCCATAGAACAACTCTTCAGTACATACATTTAAGTATCAACCGTAAATGAGTTAATTTGTCACTACCTGTCTTTCTTCCAACCTCTATTTGATTTCTCTTCACTAATCTTTTGGTTTATAAAATAAGCACAATCTGACCCTTCATAAATCATCTTGTTATTGTATGAAATGTCATTTCATAAAGGATTAGTTGTTTATGAAGGTGAATTAACTTGAAATATATGAGTTAGATAGTCCTGTCAATGCAATGGGTCATGGTAAATATCATGTACCTGAATAATTGTATGAGATAAAGATTTGTAGTAGACATTATTTATTGATTTTCCTTATATATCGTCAGTTGAATAAGTTCACTATCTTTGATAAAACTCAACTAATATACTACTGTAAGGAAGTTCATAAGATGATTATCGTTGATACACAATGTAAACAGTCATGGAAGAGTTGTTTACTTGATAAGTAATGAAACTATTAAGTTGCTAATCGTGATGAAATTTCGGCAATTACATATGCAGCATGACAGCCTTGTTAAGTGTTTCAAAACTTTGGGCTACTTTATTCTAGTGTTCGATATTTACAGTCAGTTGTTGGTACTTACGGGCACCCTTAGAAAGGCATATTGTAGGATTTGTGGAGGTGTGACCATTGGTTTAGGGAGATGACTTTCAACCAGTGGGCTCGTGGTTCAGACGGCGCTCCACCTATCTAAGTTTGGACAATCATTGCCCTCACACGCTAGATATGGTTCATTGTCTACTCCACAAATATGTACAAGGTTGCTGGATGAATTTTCATTTTTTTTTCTGACTCGATATCTTAGCATTTACGAGACTTATGTTCATTGAGAAATTATGACTGGTGTATGAATAAGTCAGCAATGAGTTACCTAATTATGTGTCTACTCCTTGGTGTTTAACACTAGTAATTTATCTTCTCGTGATAAAAATCTTATGCTTGAACGTAGCTGCTTTGTTGGTCAGAAATGAGTAATTTTTTCGAATTGAAAAGTGACTGAATCTTGGCACTTTTGTAACTCTGATGATATATATTATGATGGCAGCTGCAAAGTATAGCTTAGCTCTGAAACCGCCACTAGCTGAATGACAGTTGTATTTTACTGTCTCAGAGATATGTATTGAAAGTAAGATCTGTTGGGATGGCCGTACTTCTAATCGAATAAGCCAATGATTGTCTTTTTGATTTTATTTGCTTTGTAATGGTTAGTAGTGGAATCGAAAGTGTCTCTTTCATCCTGTTTGGGACTCATTGTCACCTGGATATACCTGCACCCTAGTGGATGACGCTGTTCCTACCTGAACTTAAATCCGGCACCCAAACATCAGAGAGTTATCCAGTGTGTAACAAGAGAGAGTTACCACTTGTTGTTGGTGCTTGTAATTTTCCGCTGATTTTCACTTTTCATGGTATATTGGCCCCTTGAATGGATGCCTTGATATTTATTAAAGTCTTATCTTGATATTATTTCCCTGTTGGTGGCTAGCAGTTAGGTTGGGAACTCGCGTTCCTTCCTATTTATTTCGAGGATCGATCAATTCTTTCCAGTATAACAATCAACGAAAGATTATGAGCGTCAGTAAATAACAAATGAAGCATTGTACGGGCTGTGTAAAAGGTGTCAGTCAG